CATTTCACCATCTCCTAAACTGCAACAAGCTGCTAATTCTGCCACGAATAAAAGCTTTCCTTTAACCTAGATTCCCACCTAAGAGTTTTCTGCAGCATTTTACATTTTGCAGACACGCAGTACAGTCCATTTAACATGATTTCCTAAGGGACATGTTCACACCTGTGTGTTTTCACTTTTTAGGAAAGGGTCAGGGACTTTTTTGAATGCAAAAAGTTGCATTTTTGTTTCTATAGACTTCAATGGAAACGCTGCAGAAAAGCATGTGTTGCGTTTTTGCTGCATTGTTATCACACTTTTTGAAGCGTTTTGCATTTTAAATTTGCTTAGCAACAAGATAAAAAAATAAAAAAACATGCAAAAACGCATCAATAATGTGGCAAAAACGCAAGTGCAAAAATGAAAACGTAATGCAGAAACGGCTCAAATGCAACCTGTATAGGTGTGAACCTGGCCTAAAGGCTAAATTCACCTTTAGTAAAAAAAAAAAAAAAAAAATAACAGTACATTCACATGATTTTGCAAGTAACAAATGTGCATTTGTTATTTTTTTTTTTCTTGGAGCCTGCAAAGCATTGCACCTATGATGCTTATATTAGCCATACCTCCATAAAGGCAGACAGTTTCTCACTTGCAAGAAGCACTGATTAGCACAATTGTAGTTCATGGAGAACTACAAGCCATCTGCCGCAGTGGCAAACAGGAATTGTAGTTCATTCATTTCGCAGGAGCACCAAAATGCAGAAGGAGGAGGTTGCTATAAGTCATTGCTTTTTATAGGAAAAAAAGAGGAGATTTACTAAAACTGGTGCATTCAGAATCTGGTGCAGCTTTTAACTGCTGTTTGTTCAGTTAAGCTTTGACAATAAAACCTGGCACCAGATTGGTTTCCCTGCAGAGTTGCATCAGATTTTGCATCGTATGTAGTTTTTGTAAATGGCCCCCAAAGTCCCTCAGAGGGCAGAAGAGAGATGTCTACGATCAGATTACATACTGTGTACATAGTGAGCATCTTTTCATTCTTGTGCATTTTAGCAAAAATGTGCTACTTAACAGAGCTCCTAAATGCCCTACATTCACTCCTGTCATTAAACTAACATTCATCGACAGTTAAATTTGTATTTTTAGCTCCTTGGTGTCCAACCTGAGACCCAGGGAACAAAATGGCACATTGGCACCTATCGAGCAGGCCTCAGGGACCATGCAGACATAGTCCACATTTTCTTACTTAGATGCATGCTTAGGTCAGTGAATGAAATATATTTCTTAGATTGGCTTCTAGTAGTTAAAGTGATACTAAACCCAGGACCTTGCATTCTAGTGACCCTGCATTCTACTGTGGAAGACCAAATATAGTTATCTGGTCTCCCACAGTACACACAACATGGAGATGCAATTATTTTAGTAAATAAAAACTGCTAAATACCTTTTCTCATCAGCATTTAGAGCAGTCGTGTGACTTCAGCAGAGCACTGGTTAAAGCTTGTAGGAGGAGTTTTCTTTCTGCTCTAGGAGGATGTGAAACCTCTGACCCTTTGTCTGCACAGTGCTGATTGGCCCTGTGCTGATCACATGCACTCTCCCAAGAAAAAAAAAAAAACCTCTCTAGCAATACACACCAAACTGATCATGTGCATGTGACTACGGATTCAGTCTGTTTCAGGTGGTCATTTCAACAAGAGGAGTGGCAAAGAAGAAAGGATCAAACAACCTTTTTTACACAATGCAGAGGATTGACCCCTTAGGTTCCACAGTGAGTATAACAAGCATGCTTTACTGCAAATATAGACTGATTTTACTGTTGTGTAACACTTTAAATGGCTTGGTTTTTTTTTTCACACTATCTTACTTTTCCTGCACTGCCTATCCCTTTTCTCTTTTTGTGTTTTTAAAATTTCCTCTGATATTTTATAATAGATCTTACTGTGAGAAATATAAATGTATAACTTTCATTTGTATCCATGACCAATAGGCTACTTCTTCTTTCCTCCAGAGCCTCCTTCATAGCCAATGGATTGTCACCTTGAGTGGCTATCTTCTGATGCTGTAAGAGATAACACCCATCGCTGCTAGTATAAGACATTGAGCAGCTCACCCACCCTCCCTGCCATTTACAAAACTTGTATTACTATTTTACAACAATGTATCATGTTCTGGGAATGGAAGAAGAGCAGATGAATGAAAAGACCTCCACCACCCAATTACAGAACGCATTGCATTGTGGGAGAACAGAAATACCAGTTTTGTGAATGTGCCCAGCAATATTACCAACTTCCAGGTGTGGACTGAACCCAAGCTCATCCCTGGTCTGCAGTCTATTATTTCCTCTGAAGAATGTCCCCTGTCTCCAATAACTCCTACAACATGTTCCAAAGTCTTTGACAATCTCCTGTTGTATGTCTGCAGTCTCTGATAGCTTACTGCTCATAACGTTTAATAAATATTATGTGTGACCCTTTGGTAATATCAGGGGTCACATTGGAGGCCCCCTAAATCAAGAAAATTGACAACCATTGATTTCCCTTGTCACAGCCTCTACAATTAGGTACCCTTATAAAGGATGGCGGTGACAGTGTAATGCTAGGAGCAAGATGGCACTGACACAAAATACTAAAAGGTATTGCCATTAAATGAATATGGAACATCTCATTTTAAATACAACCTACCATAATTAAGTGGCTAAATCAACATACAACCTTGCAACCTATTTCATACAATCAAAAGGAGGAAGAAGGTTTCAATAATTATCCATGAAAAACACAGCTTCAGTAAACTTAAAGTGGTTCTAAAGGCTCAAGGTTTTTTACCTTCATGTATTCTATGCATGAAAAAAAAAATCTTCTGTGTGCAGCTCCCCCCCCCCCCCCCCCAGCTCTCCTCCCAATCCTGAGCCCCCTCCAATCCAGTGACATATACTGTACACTCTTTATCTATGTCTCTTCTACCAGAAGATCATTATACGAAAGCACACTCACCTCTGTTGGACCGTCTTAAAAACAGGAGTTCAAAATGTCTTACCCCTCAAGGGTTAATCTGCTTTACAGCTTTGAATATAGTGCTCCAGTGCAAGCTCGACGAGAGAATAAAAGGATCATAGTGCTTTCGAGAGCATATTTATTAAAATCTTCAAAAATATTAAAAACACCCATATTAAAAAAGGCTTTTGCCAGCTCTTCAAAAATCTGATGCTTCCAGTATCCAGTAAGCCACAGGAGTACATACACCAGCTTGCGGTTCTCCCTTCTCCAGGACATTTCAACTCAACTCACTGTGATGATGTCACAGCAAAACTCTGCCTTATGCAAATGTTCACTATCAGTATGTAGAATGTTGGTGTAAAGAGATACAGGTGAAACAAAAAAAAATTAAAATATCGTGCAAAAGTTCATTTATTTCAGTAATGCAACTTAAAATGTGAAACTAATATATGAGATAGACTCATTACATGCAAAGCAAGATAGTTCAAGCCGTGATTTGTCATAATTGTGATGATTATGGCTTACAGCTCATGAAAACCCCAAATCCACAATCTCAGAAAATTAGAATATTACATGCAATCAATAAAACAAGGATTGTACATAGAACAATATCGAACCTCTGAAAAGTATAAGCATGCATATGTAGTCAGTACTTGGTTTGGGCCCCTTTTGCAGCAATTATTGCCTCAATGCGGCGTGGCATGGAAGCTATCAGCCTGTGGCACTGCTGAGGTGTTATGGAAAACCAGGATGCTTCAATAGCGGCCTTCAGCTCTTCTGCATTGTTCGGTCTCATGTCTCTCATCTTTCTCTTGGCAATGCCCCATAGATTCTCTATGGGGTTCAGGTCAGGCGAGTTTGCTGGCCAATCAAGCACAGTAATCCCACGGTCATTGAACCAGGTTTTGGTGCTTTTGGCAGTGTAGGCAGGTGCTAAGTCCTGCTGGAAAATGAAGTCAGCATCCCCATTAAGCTTGTCTGTGGAAGGAAGCATGAAGTGCTCCAAAATCTCCTGGTAGACGGCCGCGTTGACCCTGGACTTAATGAAGCACAGTGGACCAACACCAGCAGATGACATGGCTCCCCAAATCAAGACTGTGGAAATTTCACACTGGACTTCAAGCATCTTGCAGTGTGTGCCTCCCCATTCTTCCTCCATACTCTGGGTCCTTAGTTTCCAAATGAGATGCAAAAGTTGCTCTCATCAGAAAAGAGGACTTTGAACCACTGAGCAACAGACCAGGTCTGTTTTTCTTTAGCCCAGGTAAGACGCTTCTGACGTTGTTTGTTGTTCAGGAGCGGCTTGACAAGAGGAATACGAAATTTGAAGCCCATGTCCAGGATCTGTCTGTGTGTGCTGGCTCTTGATGCACTGACTCCAGCCTCAGTCCACTCCTTGTAAAAGTCCCCAACACTTTTGAATGGCCTTTTCTTGACAATCCTCTCCAGGCTGTGGTCATCCCTGCTGCTTGTGCACCTTTTTCTTCCACACTTTTCCCTTCCACATAACTTTCTATTAATGTGCTTTGATACAGCACTTTGGGAACATCCATCTTCTTTTCCAATTACTTTTGAGGCTTTCCCTCCTTATGGAGGGTGTCAATGATGGATTTCTGCACAACTGTCAGGTCAGCAGTCTTTCCCATGATTGTGATTCTTACTGAACCAGACTGAGAGACCATTTAAATGCTCAGGAACCCTTTGCAGATATTATGGCTTAATTAGCTGATCAGAGTGGGACACTGAGCCTACACTATTGCACCTTTTCACAATATTCTACATTTCTGAGATTGTGTATTTGGGGTATTCATGAGCTGTAAGCCATAATCATCACAATTATGACAAATCACGGCTTGAACTATCTTGCTTTGCATGTAATGAGTCTATCTCATATATTAGTTTCAACTTTTAAGTTGCATTACTGAAATAAATTAGCTTTTGCACGATTTTCTAATTCTTCGAGTTTCACCTGTATGTATAAACCTTAAAATCAGACAAAATAAAAAATTTTTACCAACATACCTGCATAACAATGAGAAGGTCAAAAACCAAGATGAAAGATGCCAAAAAAGCTCTCGAGACTTCATCACTGGGTAGAAATCCACGATTCAGCTTGTCCCAGCTTATCCAGTCAGTAGTGATGACAAGAAGAACCACAGAGGTCAGGCTGAATAACACTGTCCTATAAGAAATATAGATTACCTTTCTCAAGGGTGAATTTAGTGACAAAAGTACAAAATGCAAAGAAATATACAAAGTACAGTAGTATTTAAGAAAAAATATTCAGCAAGTACAGTATGCAGTAAAAAATACAAACACAATCAAACGAATTCCTATTTTCTGCACTTTGCTATCATTTTTCATTTGAAGCCTAATTAACTTTTCAGCTTATTTTATTCACATACACAACCAGCACTAAAACACAAATAATATAAAATGTTCTAATGTCCATAGTTTTACTGTGCACCAGTTTTTTATTCACCACACAAAAAATGTCTTTGGAAATGAATCCACCAACTTTAAGCAGGTAAATAATACACAGCGACACATGTGCCTTGAAATCCACCTCAAATGTGCTCCAACTGTGTTATCCACCACCACCTTCAGAAAAGGCTCACTCATCAAATGGGATGGACTTAAAATAGTCAGACATGCATTTTCACAATTATCTCTGGATCTCTCAAAGGAAATAAAACACATCCTGATAGGAATGCCCGCTTATTTAATTAAGGATTTCTTTTCCAACATTTCAGCTCCATCTTTATGGATCTTTGTTAAGGTTAGGGAGAGACCGTTAAGACATTACTAGATTTTGGCACCCACAGAATGTGCCTAAGTGTTCTACGGAGTACCCTTGGTGTCTTTTACAATAACTGTTGTCATCATTCTAAGTATGATATGCATACATCAGTTTTTTCCCACCTTCGGATATCATATTTGCTTAACACTTATTCTCATACACCCACCAGAAACTGCATTTTTTTCCTCACAGTTTTTTTTTTTCATTATGTTGAGTAAATAATTTAGCAAATTGAAGAATCTGGCATTTTTAAAATTAATTACGGAGTTACTGTACCAATACTTTAACATTTTTTAACTTTAAAGTATAAAATATACATTAATAAATGAGAATATGGTGGAAGATGGAAAGCAAAGGTCTCCAGATCCTTGTTGAGAGGATTTACTGGTACCACAGCCCAAGTGGGGCCACTGCTTCTAACACTGTGTGAAGAAATCACTAAATGAAAAAAAACATGCTGTAGATCAGGGCTCGAAAAAGGCACTCGCCCGCTCACCAAATGCGAGGAGAAATTCCTGTGTGGCGAGCGGCGGCGGCGGCGAGCAGCAAGCACAGATGATGGATGGAGCAGCTGCACCTGCGCTTCAAGCCTCATTGTGAGTCCAAGTTCCGGTTTCCAACTTCCGGTTTCCGGCTTCTTCAGCACAGCCATTACACTGGCAGCGCTGCTGAGGGGACAGGTGCAGGAGAGGTCTGCTCTCCTCCGCTGAGAGGAGACACCTTTCCACCGCTGTGGGGGACTCGAAGAGAGGTCCGCTCTCCCCTGCCTCTGGGGAAACGAGGAGAGGCCATTGAAGTGGTATTTTGCATCAGAAAAAGGGTATTACACAAGTCTTGTTCCTGCTGTACAATGAAAACCATAGCAAATCTTGAGGTGAAACTGACTTCCTACTGCTTTTTATCATCCAAAAAAAAAATCATTTTTTGGTGTGTTTTTTTCTTATGGAATAGATTGCAATCCACAGACAGCCATTGAAGTGGTATTTTGCATCAGAAAAGGGGTATTACACAAGTCTTGTTCCTGCTTGTTCCTGTGACATAGCAAATCTTGATGTGAAACTAGCTTCCTACTGCTTTTTGTCATTCAAAAAAATCATGTTTTGTGTGTTTTTTCTTCATCATGGAATAGATTGCAATCCACACACAGCCATTGAAGTGGTATTTTGCATCAAAATTATTACAAAAAGTATTACAAAAAGTCTTGGTCCTGCTACACAACAAAAACCATTGCTGCTCTAATAGCACATCTTTGGTAAAATGTTTACTATAATTGCAGTTTTTTATATTTTGGACTCTTTATTCTAAAGAACAATGTAATATCATAAGCTTTAAGGGGACGTGGTTGGGGGCAGGGCTGGGGCGAGGTTGGGGGACGGGTCAGGGGTGGGGTTGCAGGCGGACCTGGGCAAGGTTGGGTGGGGCAACTGGTGGAGAGTAAGGTTTGTGCCTGGCTAGTAGGTCTGGACTCGAAATTTTAAGCCCTGCTGTAGATAATGCACAGCAGGGAAAGTCAGAACAACAAATGTTAAAGCCTAAGTTTAGATAAAATTAAAGGATCACTGAATGGGATGGGGGATGGGTGGATGATTGAAAGCTCCACCCCCTTCATTCACAGATCATGTGTTATTCATAGAAACTGCAGTATGGCTTCTATGAATGGTCTGGCAGGAAAGGACGGGCATAGTCAAGCTCTCTTGATGACAGCTCCTCATGGTTCCTTTTCTGTATGGCGGCGGGGGTGGGCTAGCTTTTGACACTTTATTGCTTTCATTGCTTCATTGCTACTGGACAATCAAAGGACCCTCTTTGTTACATTTTTCCCATATGCTCAATGGATCAAATTTCTTTTGCCACCATTCATATAGCATTCAGATTTCGTACCTTTCAATGATAAATCCAGTACCCAGTAAATGTCAAATGCATTGCCTTTTTTAATTGGTAAATTGATGATTTATATATATAACTTTAGCAAAAAAATTGTAAAATACTAAGTAAATACTGGAAAATGAGATCAAATCCAGGCATATTTATGTATCTGGTTTAAACTCCATTTTAATAAACATCTTACATAAAATTGGTCTATACTATAGTAATATCGGCTTCTGTTATAAAATAACTTTTTATATTGATGTTGCAGTTTTACTTCACCTAACTTTCACTATCAGGCTGTGCAGACAAAATTGCTACAAAAATAATTCTGTGTAGAGAATTCATTGCTTTTTCATCATTCACTCCCCAAACTCTGACTTGGCAAGGTATATTTAAGTGTAAGTCCTCATTGCTTTGGCTGACAGAACATATTTTATATGTCCTTGACTTCACATGCAGTTACAAGAGGTATATGAATAAGCTGATTCAGTCAAATTATTACATTTTTATGCATTGTTTTACTGGTCTGCAAATGTTCCAAAACACTCTGCCAAAAATATAGCAAGATTCATCAATCTATTTTCTCTTTGATTTGAACCTAAAGATAGATCATTTTTTTTCTTTATAGACTTTGAAGATGCAGTGTGAAATATTTTTCTTTTTTGGTGCTCTCTAAATGCAAACATTCCGCACATCAAAATGATCAGTATTTATCTAAGAAATATAGGCAGCCTAAGTTAAATGCAAATCTTAAATTTCCATTTAAAAATCCAGCTTTGTCTAGCTTCTGCTCTCAAGTCTGAGCCTTCCTATTGGTCAAAAGGGCTGTTTACAATAAAAAAAACAAATAGGGCAGTTTGGGTCAAGCACACCCATATCTTTCTATCTAATGATCATTTTGACATGTAGAGTTTACTAAAGGGGACATCTGCTATCGTATTTTTTATATGGTCACTGTGGAATGCTCAGATTTGTGACATATTGCCACTATAGAGCAAGTGCATCTCTGTGATAAATATATTGCAGACCTCTCAATTAGCCACTGGATTGGAAAATTGAACTGACAGAATTGGAAGATCAAGTACAATCTTAACCACTTGCCCTTCTGAGGATTTACCCCCCTTCCTGACCAGGCCATTTTTTGCGTTACGTTTCTGCATTACTTTAACTGACAATTGCGTGGTAATGCAAAGCTGCACCAAATGAAATTTATGACCTTTTTTTCCCACAAAATTGAGCTTTCTTTCAATGGTATTTGATCACCTGTGCATTTTTTATTTTTGCGCTATAAAAAAATAAACCGGACAGTTTTGAGAAAAAACAATATTTTTGACTTTTTGCTATTAAACATGTCCAGTAAAAAAAAATAAAAAATCAAATTTCATCATAAATTAACTCCAAAATGTATTCTGCTACAGGTCTTTGCTAAAAAAAAAAAAAAACCCAATATGTATAAATTAATTGGTTTACATGAAAGTTATAGCATTTACAAATGGTGGTATATATACTAGGATTTTTTGTAATTTTTTATTTTTACTAGTAATGGCGGCGATCAGCGACTTGTAGCCGGACTGTGGAATTGCAGCGGGTATTCTGAAACTGGGGGGAACTGACTTGGTATCGCTGACATCTCCATTGACACCAATACAGTGATCAGTGCTAAAAAAAGTACTGACACTGTACTAGTTGCACTGGGCAGGAAGGGGTTAACATAAGGGGCGTTCAAAGGGTTAACTGTGTGCAGGGAGTGTTTTTGCTATGGGGGTGGTGTGTGTGTGTGTGTGTGTGTTTCACTGTAATCACACTGCTCTGGATGGCTGTGCTGTGCACAGCCATCCAAGCAGTGTGCCTGAGCAGACTGGGAGGGGAACTGTTAGTAAACAAAACAGTCCTCCTCGGTGATCATCGGAAATCACCGGGCGCCGGCGAGTAATTACTATCCAGGACCCGGTGATTGACACTGGGGCTGCGAATGGCAGCATAGGTAGGGCACGCATGTGACCCCTACCCAGACATGCAAATTTACGTATATATATACGTATATATATATATATATGTATATATATATATATATATATGATTTTGCGCACCAGTGCTGCCCTGCAGCAGTATTTCTGCTATAGGGCGGTGGGGATGAGGTTAAGAAAATGGAAGAAGGTAATTGGTTATATTTTTTCAAAAATGGGTATGATTGGTCTGAATATAGTAAAGTAATGAAGTTGTGCTAAAGTGCAATTATTTAAAAACATTCCTGGGAGATTTTTCTTTGGGAAGATAAAACTTATAAAAGTCCAGTAAAGAGACACTGTTTGCTGTAGCCATCCACTCTGGTTGTCCCGTTTACCATTGTCATTGAAAGTGAAAGTAAAAGAAAATCCAAAATTTTGGGTTGTCCACACAAAAGTAATAGACGGGAAATCTTCCAATGGAGACACTAATTCTGGTGATCCAGGGGCCCCAAGGGATTCCATTAATTTGCAGGGATTTCCTCTCACTTTCTGTATTTTGGTATGTGACA